TGGCTTTTTTCCAGCCCCCCCCCTGCACGTTTACTTTTCCGTCGTATTGTGTTTAATAAACTTTTACATGCTTTTATTACATGTGTACATGCATATATATGCAAATAATAAAATCATTTGTGAGCAATCAAGTATATCTAGTTCTATACAAGTAAGGTCTAAAGTCTAAGGTAATAAAATTAAATACTAAAATTAAAAGTATTTTGGAAACAAAATGCTATATTTGTTATTTGCTATTCCTGTAATATATAACTATATTTTTTACATATAACAGCCTAGCCTCCAGTTTAATTCTGGACTTCCAGTTTAATTCCGGACTAATTCCTATATCTCAGCTACCTTCTAGATGGGCTCGTAAACTATAGGTACAGATTCTGCGAACTGCAGCCTGGGAAGAATTCTGCAGAATTGGGTTAATCCCCAAGGGGTCCTCGATGGCCGCTATAAATACATATATCTTGCATCATTTATACCTATAGTTATAATATTATCGATATTAGCCAATCTAGATGTAAGGTTTCTAAAAATAGGAATTAGTCTGGAATTAACCGGGAAGTCCCGAATTAAACTGGAGGCTCTTATACTTGAACAATAGACCAGGAAGTTGACGGGGATGCGCTGCGATGTCTTGACGCTGCTGTCATGAGAGAACTCATACCCAAGGCTGGGCCAAGGGCAAAGTTCAAGGACATTTTGAGGCAACAAAGACGAGTGCAAGTAAGATCTCACAATTCTCATATTATAGTGATAACAGATGATAAGAGTATGCGTACATTGTTGAAAAGAAGCTTAATAAGACTGACTAATATATGTCATATGTACTTCACCAATTGATAACGGTAAGCTAAAATCACCAAAAGACTCCGTTTCTACTAAGATCACCAAATCTATATGTACAATCTTTTGTTTATTTTGACAGTTTGCAACACTATTGTCCATTTTCGCATCAAGAGCAAATGCCTTTTCTCATATATCAATTACCTAATCTCTCTCAATATCAATCACCTAATCTCTGTCTGTCTGTCTGTCTGTCTGTCTCTCTCTCTTAGTACAAAGCCAATAGAGATACAATTCTATTCCAACTTGTTATGAACATAATGGCCCAAATTTCATTCCTTCTCGCGTTTTTCAAGGCAACGTCGGAACCTGGAGTCGCTCGTCTGATCTTCCGGGAGATTCTAAGAAAGAATCTTAAGCTGGGGAAGCTCCTTGGAAGGGGTCAGTTTGGGGAGGTACGACTTGGAGAAGTGCGTAAGAGGGGAGTGAGCACCACTGTCGCTGTCAAAACCCTGCATGGTCAGTATTCATTACCTCTCTTATTAATCATATGATTTATAAGATTTGAAGATTTACTACGTTTGTGAAAACATTGACATAACAGGTGCCTATCACCTTTTCAAGATGTCAACTCTAAGACCAGACTGTAAGGTTTGAGCCACTCACACAGGGAAGGACCCCTGCTCTTTTTTCACAAGTGTGTTGGGATGTTTCTCTATTTTTCATCTCAGCTTCAGCATCAGACAAAGACAAGAAGGACCTGATGGGAGAACTGGAGATTCTGGTTACTGTTGGTCGTCATGACAACGTCATCAGTTTGGTTGGAGCATGCACGATTGACGGTAGGACTGATTGATCCTTAGAATTTCATGTTTCCCATTGTCCTCCCACGGTATTTTAATGTTACAATAGCCTTGGATGCAATAGCCTCTCTTAGACGATAGATTTTTGTTGGTTAAATGCCTTAGTACGGTCTGCAAGCTTGTGTAACTGTTGCCGGACTGTGATTATTAACTGTTATAACATTCTATAGTGGTTACAGTTGTTACACCAAAAGACAGTTACCCAAGCAACCAAATCTTGTACTCAGGTCCGTTGTGTGTTGTGGTGGAATACGCTCCAAACGGCAGCCTGAAGGACTGGCTGAAGGCTAACTCTCCTGAGCGGATCAGGCAGGAGTCGGCCGCGGGGTACTATAACATCGAAGACCCTCAGTTACCGAGTCCTCCTATGGAACAACTCATTCAGTTTGGCATCGACGTGGCGGCCGGGATGAGCCATTTGGCAGCCATGCAGGTAAGTCACTTTCTTCCTTTGTGAATTGTAAATGCATTCTTTATCATTACATGATAACACGATAACGGCCTTTATTGCACATTTTTGCCACAGTAGTTGGGCTACGTACAGGTCACATCAAAATAACGGATGAACAGATACAACATGAAACTATTAAACTAACTATTATCGTTACAGATTCAACTTCAGTCATTGTAGAAATAAAAGAACAGATATGTTTTTCGATGGAAGGTTTATCTAGTTACATTATGAATATGGACTTTTCTGTAGTGTTTAAGTGTATTAAATAGGAAATCTGTTTTTGTACAAACCTATACAATTTATTTCTCTGTTTGCTCTACAGTCAACATTCTATTACAAAATGGCGTTCGCCCTCTATTCCATTGAAATCACAATGTTTACATAATCTTTGTTCAAGGGGAGTATCAAGTTCACTTGAAATTAATTTTTGCACTCATACATGCATGTCTCAATGCATTTAGTGTCCAGACACTAAGCACATTCTCCACATTAACTCCAATAAATGCATTACTATAATATTTATAGAAGAGAGACCCTCCATGAATGTGAACACTGGCAGTCATCTTACATTACGAATGGACTACAATACAAGGGGGGGGAAGAGACAAATGACAGTGTTAATTAAAACGATCCTGTGTTCAAAAATCATATAATACGAAATAATATAATATAAATGATATAAAGCAAATGATAATGATAATATAATGATGATAATAATAATACTAATGATACTACAACTAATGATACTGATAATAATAGTAATGATGATAATAATAATAATATGACATTTTCATCGTAGTGTGATTCAATCTAATCTTTTGCGATATTGTATATGTTTGTACAGTGTGTACATCGTGATTTGGCAGCAAGAAATATTCTTCTGGGAGAAGGCTTGGTAGCCAAGGTGTCTGACTTTGGACTGTCACGGGACATTTATGAAGATGCTGAATATGTGAAAACCACTTTGGTACGTAGATAATTACAACAGTCTTAAACTAACAGAGTTGGACTTCCTATGGAATCTGGATAATTTCTTCTCTAAATATTAATCAAGGATTGACTCAATGCATCACAAGCAGTCGTCCTTCATTTCGCCTATGATCAATTCGCACAAGAAAAACATACTGTTTTTGCTCAGTTTTCTCTTCCTATTTTTTTTTTCAGTGTTCTTTCCTATTCTTCTTCTTCTCTTCTTCTTCGGTCCAGGTCATTGACATAAAGTCAATGACCTGGACCAGACGCGTACGTCTGTCATCGTGGTAACTGGTCCTCTAGGAACACCTTGTGGTGTTGGATTACATTTTGTAGCAGGACAGAGTTGGAGAGGCTGCTTGCCATACATATGGATGTATTTGACTTTCAGTAACAGGGTAGTTGTTTGTTGGGCTAGTCCAGGTGAAGGTAAACATTTTCTTTGCAAATTTTTTATTTAAGTGTTTGAAGCCATGATAAGCAATTAATTTCTCGACACTGTACTACGGTGAAGAAAATACTCGACTGCAATTAACACAATCCAAAGGAACTGGCATTTAGAATAATGTTCAAAATTCTAAGTATAGATTCTGAATTAGTCTTAAAATCCTAACTACTAAAACAACAAAATCTGACAAGTCATTTATGACACTTTCAGAGCAAGCTCCCCTTGCGATGGATGGCGTATGAGTCTTTGTTCTACAACGTGTATACAATCCAGAGTGATGTGTAAGAGCAAGTCCTTTGATTTTCATTATGCATTCAGTTACTTCCTTTCATATCAAAGGCTTTTGACAAATTAAGAAATTGTCCTCAGCTCTTGATGTGCAGTTTCCATGTAATGAGTCTGGCTTCTTTGTCCTTGTCAGATGGTCTTACGGAGTTCTTCTATGGGAGATTTTGACAATGGGTATGTGTGTATGTTTGTAACCTTGTTGGTATCTTGAAGATTCGTATCATAAATAAAGCAGAGTACCAGTAGCAGCACTCTGTTTTTAGGTGGAGACAGTAACGTCATAAGACTATATCAGGAGAACACAGTTGATATTTGCCTTTCGTTTTACATTATTTGCAAAGACGATCTGCTTTCGTTTTTTCACGTACGCCTCTATGTCCATATCATTATATTAATTAAGACAGTATTTGTTATCTCTTATCTTACAGGTAAACTACCATATCAAGGTATCAAAGGCAAAAAGATGATGAACATGATCAAAGCTGGCTACAGATTGGAGAAACCTGTACTCTGTCCTGACGATATGTAAGTCTTGTACCTGATGTACCTGTTGATGATCATTATTTTTTGTTTGTTTCGCCTAACCGGCAAACCTTTCGGTGTAACACCAGTTTTGCGCAGCAAGTAGAAGCTACTTGTACGTATGTACGTAAGATCGGACTGTAAGGTTTGAACCACTCACACCGAGAAGGACCTAAGAATTTCCACTCTTTTCTGTAAGTGTGGTGGGTACTTTAACATGTTCGAGGCATGGCTCTCCTAGCTCAAACACGGGACTTCTGGCTTGATGTTGAACTCGTGTAAAAAAGAAAATTGTACAAGTAACATAACATAACATAACATAACATAACATAACATACCATAACAGAGAAATGTAAACTGAGATTATTTTAGCTGAAAATTGAACTCAAATTAATGCAACATATAAGGAACTGAACAGAGGAGATTTACAAAAACAATATGTGTCAAAACATATTCATAATCCATAATCGTGTCCAATTTCCGTTGCATAGTCAAAATCAGTGAAGGTTATCATACAAAATGAAATGTGTGTCAATGTGGTACAATATACTAGCCTGAGTGTCAGCCTTGTTAGCTTTCGTCCGCTACCCAAGATCCGCTTGGAAAGGAGCGGATCTTGGGTAGCGGACGAAAGCTAACAAGGCTGACACTCAGGCTAACAACATACAGCTAGTGGGAGTTCTCATGCTTTACTTGCAGCTACGATGTGATGACAAGTTGTTGGGAGAGTCTTCCGGAGGACAGGCCGACTTTCCCTCAGCTGAGAAACAGTCTGGACAGAATTGTGCAGCAGTACAAGGTATCTAATCTTTTTGTATTATCGTCGTCATAAAAGTGGTAGCCATGCTCTGAATATGGGAATTAGCCATAATCCGAACATTTTGTCATAGATACGAGTCTGGTCTAAGCCCCCCTCCCCCCAGATTCAGAGGGAATATTTTGGGGGTGGGTTTGTATATATGCTTGTCCAGGGGAGCAGGGATGGTGGCACTAGCAGGGTCATTCATATGAACGTAATGTGAATTCGAACCCAAAACGATGGTAAAATGTAATGTAATGTGAATAGAATGTATGCGGAAAATATCAAATATTATCACATTAAACCTCATAATTATATTTACGTCACATTACTGGTATGTAACAGAAAATTAGTCTTTATGTAAAAAAAAGGTAACTATGTAACATCATTTTTCTTTCACATGTTCAGAAAATGTGAATTACATGGGAGCATAATTTTCCTAAGATTTCACATTTTGAAATGTGAACCAGGACGTACCGGGTGGGAGTATGTGGGCGGTACGTGGAGGAATTCAGCAAGTAGTTGAGCTGTGTAATACCCCTTGAAATTACGTCACAAAATCACCTTTACAGTTCCAATATTTCCACAAAAAACACGAAAACACTTTTCCCCGCAGGCCGACGTATAAAATCTCCCATTTCTTGTTGTATTCTACCACACAATCTCTTAGCCCTGTTTTTTTTTCTATGTTCCTTCCAGCAATATGCTTCGCTCCTGAAGTGAGAACCACAGGGACAATTCTACAAGAAGATCATTTGAAGAGCTCATATATACTCAATGGAAATGTATGGGTGTACTAAATGTGAAATAATGACACACATGACATCACATGCATGTATGACGGATATCATTCATACAAACAAATGTACATGATAATACTGGCTAAAATATAGCATTGCAAATGAATTGAAAAATGAAAAAAAGTCTGTATCGTATAACTATGAATGCTCTCTCGTTAAAAGCTTTTTTGCAGGATCCTAGTACCATGAATGTTTTAACAGGATCCGTTCAGATGTTTAAGAATGTAAAGAAGAATATTTCGATGAAAGACCGGGCAGCAATACCCCCTACCGGAAAAAGCTAGAAGTTCATGAAACATACTGCTAGAAGCATAAGTCATCACAAAATACCGTGTTTGCAGACTTAGTTTAAACCACTTACACACACACGTACACATGTACACCGCTACTATTAGTTTAGCCCGTACTTTACTTACAAGTAACTACTGTTGAAAAAGGAATAAAAGACCAGTTGGTTGTGATTTCATGTTTTGTCTGTTGTCTCATTTTTAGCCACTTGAAGCTGGCCAGCTTCGTCTGCAATCATCCTCAAGCTCACAGATAAGGCCGAACATTGCTTCCTTTAGCGTGCAACAGCGTCACCTAGCGGATATTCTGAGTACAGCACAATAAAAAAGACGTTCTCGTCGCTGATTGGTCAATCGTCAGCCTGCGGAAGCCATTTGCAATCTCCCCGCGAAAGTGAAAGTACAGTATCGGGGTGTTTGTGAGAAAAAAAAGCAAGAAAAACAGCGACTCATCATGCTGATAACTGCAGTGTAGGTCAGTGAGGCATTATGAACTATTTTTCTATCGGTAGCTAAACTCTAGATGATTCTGTGATACGAAAAATTGACTTTTAAAGACTAGAATGTGAGCTGGATGGCTTTCTTGACAATCCGCCATCTTGTCCCGTTTGGGAATGATGTTTTCTTGACGACAAAGGACTCTTAAAAAGTTCCTACTTGTGAAGACAAAGGACTTAATGTGTCAATTCTTGCGATATAACGAGGCTGTTTTGTTTGATGGTAGATCTGAAGCCATTTTTTATTTCAATTTCTTGTTAACTAGTGGAAATATTAACTTTTTGTCGGTAAATTTTGATTGATACGTAATAATTATAGACTGTATATAAATATATGAGGATCAACATTGTAGTAGAGTACACCAGTGATCTATGAAATTTAAACGAGCAATAGGAGCAATAGCAATATAAGTATTCCAATTTGTTATCAACTAGCAACTTGAGCCATACTGTGAAATGGCATTTATGCCACAGCAAGTAAATTTTATGGATGACATCCTCCGTAGACTAAAAATCTAATGTGAGCGCGCGAAAAAAAAGGCGACCCCCCAAAAAACAAGGTTCCTACATTTAAAAAATGTGACTCATTGCACAAATGGTTTTGATTTAGTGGGAAGTCACATATACACAGCCAGCATCACATATAACTTCATCAAAGTAAAGAAACAAAACATTTTTAATCAGAGCCTTTTCTTGTCTCCTCTTTTTATATTTATCTGCCATCCACCTTCCGGCATGGCAACAGACATCTTTGCCCATTTTCAGGCATGACCACTGTCAGGAGGCAATAAAATTTCTTGTTTTTTTTTCTCAAAATCAGGCGAAATTTAATGCGCGCACTGATGTCATCCATAAAAATTACTTGCTGTGGCCTTAGTCTGAGCCCGGTACCTCAACTACCGTCAGGAAGATGAAACAAATTTCAAAAGTAAAAATTGTATTGATTTGCCATCAAAGAAGTGAGCCATATTAAGCCACCAAATTCTACCAAATTGTAACTACTGAGCCACAGTACAGGGCTTGAAATCCCTTTTTCTGCAGGTGCAGGTAACATTGAAAACTGCGGGTGCACTATTCAGACTTTGAGAAATTTATATCTATTACACTAAAAACTATTCAGAAACGATTGTAGTTATATCTTTTAAAGTTCATAGGACTAGGTTCATAGGTAACAGTCCATGCACCAAATAAAACTCCACTTACATGACTTGTATACGTATACTGCACTGGTCCATGTACAGAATACTAGTACCTGGCCGCCAGGGCAGGTTAGGTGCAGGTAGACATCAGAAATACCTGCACAGCTCCAATTTTACCTGCACTAACCTGCATATACCCAGTACATGGACCAGTGCAGGTTAGGTGCAGGTAGACATCAGAAATACCTGCACAGCTCCAATTTTACCTGCACTAACCTGCATATACCCAGTACATGGACCAGTGCAGGTTTGGTGCAGGTAGACATCAGAAATACCTGCACAGCTCCAATTTAACTGCTCTAGAGTGCATATACCCAGGACATGTCAAGTCAGACATCAGAAACACTGCACAGCCGCAATTCTAACTTCACTAATTAAATAAAAGTGCATATGCAACCAGTATTTCATGCCCTAAACTGCCAGTAGCAATAGAATAATCTTACTCGTAGTTGGATGACACCGCAATTCCAGCTTCCTTAGTTGGCATCCGATGACGTCCTGGGCAGACCCGGATATGACGCACTGCTGACATTTGACCTTTTGGCTGTTCATCGGAGCGAGGAGCAATCACCGTGGATGCCAAGGTTAGCACATGTTTGTTCGTTTATCTGGAATGTACAATATTTACCTGCATTCGAGGTCATCAGGTGTATAATCAACCCAGGATTGTTTGTACTATAGTCCCTGCTTTTTCGTAACAACAGTTGCTGATATGTGCGACACAGGCTTGAAATATAGCATGCAAACAGAGGGAATTCAAAATGGCGGAAAAGGGCCATGATGTTTGTTTGTTTGTTTTGTACTTCTAGCCAGGTTTTAACAGGGCACGTTAGCTCTCTTAATGTTACCGTTGCTTTCAAATCTGTTACAACAACATGTAAGACCAAAAGATTGACTGTGACCCTTTCTGTGCACCTTGTTATTGTCAAAGGAGCCTAACAGTCAGGAACAAAGGTAGCAAGCCTGCAAAATTAAAAACAAAGGTTACGTAATTTTCAGTTCTAATCTCTTGCATGCACGTATACAGTTGGTTCATTCCTTGATACACAGATCAGTACTAAGAGAAACCTGTGAGAATGTGCACTTATGTCTGAACCACTTCTCAGTACTAGTATTTTCATTGTTTAAAAAAGGTCATGAGGTCAAGCTGTTGTTTGGAGACCACCCTTTATTGTTGTAAAGGATCATATGTCAGGGCTTGAAATACCACCTGCAGGTAAAATTGGAGCTGTGCAGGTAATTTTCAAATTCAATGTTACCTGCACCAGTGCTGATAGATATATGCAGGAAAAAATTAGTGTATTTTAAGACAATTCCTGCAAATATTCATGCTGATATTGAGCAGAATATTAAGAAATCTTCTCGGGGGGAAGTATACTGATTTCATTTTACAAAACACATGTTGCACAAGGGGAATTCTGCAAAAAAATACGCTGATTGTGTCTTCAATGAATAATCTATAATGACACCACCTTCTCCTTTATTTAACTGTTTATTTTAAGGCATCAGGTTACTCCCAGTCATGTTACATGCTAAAGACCTGGCATTGTAGCATAATACTGTGACACTTCAGCAGTTTACTACATTCAAAAATGCCATGATTTTTTTGTTAGTATATTATGAATGGATATTTGGAAATGTGTTGAATTGACAACAATTTTATTCTTTCAGATCACAGTATCACCAGTGGCAACTCAGGAAGGATAAATCTATTCCATATATAAGTTACAATTGAATATAGCATTGTATTAGAAGTTTTGCAAAGGATACAATCGGGCCAAAATTTCAAGAACAAGAACAAGAAACTTTGGAACATTTGCTGCTACATCAAAAGTCCATTTCCTGGCACGTTTGACTAATTGCTGATATCTTGTGTCCTGCAAAGACTCAAGTCAGTTGAATTCCGAAGACTGCAGTAGAGAAGTTGAAAATTCATTGTGCAAACGGTTTGTGTTGGAAGAAAGGTTGACTATCAGGCATTCCGCAATTCATTTTTCTCCAACACCACATCCTAATATTTCCTGCAGTGCGTAGGTTGGTCATTAATAGGTTTCTGGGTAGTGGCCTACCCTCGCCAGAAATTGTAGGCTTAAGTAAAAAAGAAGGAGCAAACTTTTACAACTTGTCTTGACACCCATGAAAAGTGCCTTAAAGGCAGAAAGGACTAATTCTCGAGTTTAAATAAAGGCACAAACAAACAAACAAACAAACAAACAAACTCCTTCCAAAGATATACTGTCTTCTAACCAATGCAAAACATGGAAACAGATGCATCAAAAGAATCAGGCAAGTCTTCAGCTGTAGCATTGGAAGGCTGCGAAGAACAAATGGCAATGCAGCTTTTGGCCAGCGATGAAACCAAAGCCGTAGTGGCCCTTCCAGCTTGTGATCAGTCTCAGAATCAGGAAGTAACAGACACTAGTGATGATGACCAGAGGGGAGATAGTCCCCATTTTGCTGGAGCTGAAGATGGTGCTGTTGGGGGAAGTGAAGAACAGAGCAAGGCAGTGCAGCCTAGCAAAGGGTCATCTGCTGACCTCTTGCAGTTGGCTGAACAAGCATTTGGTGACCAACAAGAAAGTGGAACGACCTTAGTACAGCTTTCCCAAGTTCGTCCAAGATTACGGGACATGATACAATTTGCCATAGATCAGCGCTACCCGGGACCATCTGGAAATGGTGGTCAAACAGTAGCGGCAGATAGATCTGTACCAACCAACAGCAGTAATGTAGATGCCATCATAGTGCAAGCACTACAGACAATGGACAGTGTATCTTCTTTGGGGAGGGACTTAGAAAGTAAGCTACATGATGAACGGTCTAGAAAGAAGATCTCCCTTGCACAGGAGCGAAAGAAGAAAATGGATCTACAAAAGGTTTCGGATCTCCGTACGCGTTGGAGAGATCTTGTCTCAATAACCAGGACAACGTTAACCAGTATTGATGCCTTTGAGTCAGATGAAGACAAGGATCAAGATGTATCATCAGAGTCAGATAATGAAGAAAGCACTGATTCGAACAAGGAAATGGCCAGTGACGCAGATGATGGAGGTAGTGCCACGTTTGCTCTGCAGCTCGATAAAGAAAAAGTGTCAGCTGAAGATGTAGTAAAGGAGAAGACAGAGACATTATTTCCCTTGCCAGCTGTCAGTTGCTTGCCTATGACAACAGTTGGTTATACTGTTATGCCCTACCCAGTGGCAGATAAGCAAAAGCTGGGTCTCAATTCTGACCATGCTGATCTAGAGGAGGAAGGTAACAACGGAAAGATTAAAACGTCTCTATCAGCACAGGACATGAGCAATCCCCAGCCAAAAGAGATGTCTAAAGACCAGAGCAAGGAAGATGGAGATTTTGAAAAGGAGTTCCAAAACATACATCCCCCAGGTTCTTCCTCACAGCAAGGTCACAGTCTTCCCCTTTATGTGTTTCATCATGATAGTGCCAGACATGAGACCCCAGCAACAAGTTCATTGCAAACAGGCCCGTACAAAAGTTATGAAGAGTTACACTTTGGGCGACCACCGGAAGAGAGAACTGACGACAGTGTGGCTCAAGAAAACAAAGCAGAAGCAGCAACACAGACCAGTGAAGAAGATTTCCTGGGCAGGTGTAGCAATGGGCCAGTCAAAATACCATGTGGTGCGAGTGCTGATTGTACCAGTCAGCCTTCAGAAGAAGAGGGGGCTGTGGGAGGGGCAGTATGTCCATCTGGACAGGGCAGCAGTGGTGGGAATGACCTGGGCATTCCAGACCCAACCTGCAACCAGACCCACAGTATGCTAGGTGAACAGAGATCTAGAGAAGCCATTGGTGAGCTGATGGCAGAGGTAAGCCAACTAAAGGTACTGCTATATCTCCATGCATACTTATTAGATCAAAAAGTGAAAAAACAGGTAACGTTATTATACCAAAAAGAGCTGTAACGGTTATAATTACATGTATCATGTATACATCAGATTCTGTAATAATGGGCTTTGAGGTTTAATAGGAATTGCTTTATTGCAAATTCATGCCCGAGGGCTAGTATAGAAGAAACATTTGGTATAGGAAAGGGTATTACTAAGTAATACACAACTACATGTATTGTTAACTTCAATTTTTTGAAGACAGAGGAAGACAAAAGATTTAATTGTGGGGTTTCTATAATTTGAATCAAAGTACACTTATATAGCCTATCTTTCACATTTGTGATGAGTGAATTTAATGTATCATTTTACATGTATTCTGCTTTGGGTTTTGGCATTTCCATGATTGTACCTAAGATTGTGCATTGGCAATGATGTCTCAGCTTCAGCCACAAGATGAGGAAGTCACAGTTTCCACACAGTTCACACAGTTCTATGGACCACCTGCTATTATGCATCTGGAGGTAAGCTACATGTATACCGGTAATTGTGAAATATTGAAATGGAAATATCTTCTTTATAACACAGTATCAGTGGTCAATAAGAGCTGTGATACAGTGTACCTTAATTTATGCTACAATGGATTTAATAACAGTATCAAAGTTTTAATTGATAAAGACAATCCCCAAAACTATAGATTATGCAATCTGCATTAAAGCATAAAATCTTTAAACTTGATGTTTTCCTCTTTTTATAGGATGAGAGTTATCCGAGACGCAACCTATTTGATTTCCAAGACCATGAGGAGTTGTATGACTTGTCCAGTGCAGGTCATTGTCTTTTTACTTTCAGATAGCGAAGAATTGTTTTGGGTGGCTCTTATGTAATTAGCTGTGGGTTTGGGTATCCATTTGTCAAAAGTTCTGGCATCTAGCCAGTAGCCAGCAGGAGTTGGAAATTGAAGTCTTCCTAGCTCTGGCCTTGGACTGGGTAAGGCCATGGGGTTGGTGGAAAAAGTGGTCCAGTTTAGAAGTTAGAAAGTCCAGTCTGGTTGAGGGTGCATGGTTGGTGGAAAAAGCAGTCTGACCAAGTTGTGCCCCCCAGCAGAATGTGGAAGAATGTCTGATGTGTTTCTCTGTTCAAACATGAAGCATACTGATTGGCTTATAATATGGGAAACTGCATACAGATGTCTTAATGCCAAGTTCAGGAACACTGGTTGATGTTGTGTTTTCCAGTTTAAAAATTTGATTGTCAATTAATATGCTGTCATAGATAAGTTATTACTAAAAAATTGCTAGAAAATAAGGTTGTCTTATACAAATATATTCAGAAAATCTGTACACAGTGATTAAGTCTGAGCATGCACATTTTTTTTCATTCCGTGATATTTCATTTACAATTAATCTTAAAAATGCTATATTTGGTATTTTCCTAGATTCATCACCCCCACCGTCTCTTGATTTGGAGGAACTGTTGACAGAGTTTCGTGATCAAGGTCAGAAATACAAGCCAAGCTAGACTGAATCTTACAGTATATTTTGAAATATATATAATTTATCAGAATCAACTTCATGCTTAGAATTTGAATTTGATAGATTATTTTTTACATATTGACAGTGTAACCGAATCTAACCTAAAATAATGTTTTCCTGCCATCTTCAAAGTTGCTTCCTTAGAGGCAGCAGAAAACTTTAAGATTAAAAATGGTGCTACATGAAACAATTTTTTCTAAAAGGCGAAGAAACTGTATTGCAGCCAAAACTTGTGCTGGTAATTTTGTATGCAGCCTGGTATAGTACACAATGTATTTCGAGTCCAGTGTAATATGATATGTAAGTTTTCTGGTTAACCATTTTTCATGCAGGAGCCAGGGTGGTGATAGTTGACAGCGATGGACACACGCTCCTGAACACACTCTTAGCAGGACCGAGACTGGTCCAGTATCAAGCTCTGGAGATTGCAACCACAGTAAGCTTTATAATAATTTACTTTAAATAACTCACCTCCTTGAAGATGGGTGTAGGACAAGGAAGGGTGGTATACATGTATGTGTCAGAATGAAACAACAATTGTGTTTTCTAAATTGGTTCTGTGTTGATTCATTCAAAACAAATTCCAAATCTGTTCTGGGTTAAGTTGATTGAAAGTGGTTGCTCTGAAGTCTAACAATTTGTTGTGACACCTACAATTTAACTCAATAGAGTTTTTTTCTGAGTGTTTGAAATGGATTTAGTATGATTGAAGTCACCCCCATCTATTCCAAAGGTGATTTAACAGGGGGTACCCTAACTTAGGACGTGCCCTAACTTCAGACTGATTTTTTTACTGATCTTATTATGCAGAAGTATGCCATGTTTGTTGGGAAATAGTCATGGCCAATGCATACAGGTGTTATTTGCATGCAAAGTATAGTTCTATATAATATTATATTTATCGTTTTATCCTTATTTGCCCAATAACCTTATTTAATACTCTTCTTTGTAACCTATTAATAGGTTTCAAAAAGGAAATTTTTTCTTGACTAGGTTTTGGAGAGAGGAGACTTAAGGGATTTCACCCTGAGGTGGCCAGGAGGATATCTCATTCCCTGGGACTCCTTACTGGGACTGCCCAGCAACCAGGGACCAACCACTGTACAGGTTCAACCAGCTCAGCATGGGGAGGGAGAGTGGAGGGTAGTTTCGGTGTGTGCAAGTTTAAATTTTTTCTTTAGTATCAATGAATTAATTACCTTGGCTTTATGTACTCAATAGTAACAACTAAGCGTACCTGCAAAGCTGGTGGTGTGTGTTATGCCAAAGGGCGGTTATACCAGCTATACAGATACAGAACTTCAGATCTGATTCTGGCCATGGATTGCCACTTTCATCTTATTTTCATACATTGAGGCAAATTAATCAAAGGTACAATCCACATATCAAATTGTTTTATCATTAATAAAGGCTTTATAAATGCATGCCAATTTTAAGATATGTAACGTATTAACGTATTAATTTTTGTTGCAAATGCCTGAACCTCACTATGATAATGATGGTCACTCAGCCATGTTACATGCATGCCATGGGATATGAAAAGACATTTTGATGATGACTTTGTCAATGAAGCATATTTTTCCGTCTAGACTGAAGGTGACCCCATCTTGCAACCTCCAGACAATCAAGAAGAGGTACTTACTTTGATTGTTAGGCTACTACTCGTGTATGGCAGGCACTTATTGTACGGAAGCAAAGTTACTCACAAATGACTATCTGACTCTTGCTGGTGCTTTTTGCTCAAACTCTCTTGAATTTTTGATGGCATATGGACGAATTTTTTCAAATTTATTTTTACAATCAGTGTTAAAAAGACAATCCTAAATACTTTAATTTGTCCTTAATTAGCAGCTGTCATCATCGGAGATTATAGGCTGTAAAGACTGAAAAGAAGTTCATAAGTTTCCTTATCAGAGAGATATAAGAATGCTTTTGCAAACTGCAAAGGTCACAAAACCCATGTGCATATATTAGGAAGACCACTCCATGGGAAGACTGACCCTTTCATGTGTTAATGCCAAAATGGATTTCTTCTAGAATGCTGGTAACAGCGAAATGCAGGCATGTTTGTCAGAAGGATTGCATGGCCAGCAGCAGCTGCATGGAGGCGCTTCATCACCACAGAGCAGCCACGCTGGTCCAGGCCAACCACTGACTGTCCAGCCAGACACTGCAGAACAGCAAGGTACATGTACTGTAGTGTCACGCTATATCGTTCATAACAAAATTGTGTGTTGTTCAAAAGGGAATTGGTTTTCTGGGCCTGAAAATCTGAGCGTAAAAAATTTGAATGTATTGAAACAAAGGCCTTGAAATGTGTTTAAAAATCTGTTTTGGGGCAATAATTGTGACCCTGTTTTATAATTTCCCCATAAATAATTTGAGGTCCCTTGGGAATAGGTTGGCTTGCCTCATGATCTTTATACACAGAAAATCTTTTAAAATCTTTTGGTACACATGTGAAACGTTAACATAAGAAAATGTCTTTGATTTGTGAGTGTGTATGTGTGTTTCTATGCATGTGTCTGTGTGTATATACATGTACACACAGACTGTGTATCCCTATCCGCAAAACACGAAGGACAGACACAGGAAAATAAGTCAAGGTGTAATAGAAGTTTGAAGTCATGTGGGGTCATTTGGGGTCGTGTGAAGTCTTGAATCTCCAATTTCTTGTTTTTAGACTTCAGGTGTACCATCTGTAAAGAGGGAAGAGGACAACTGGTTGAAACACCCTGCCAGCATCTGTTCCATCCAGGCTGTCTGTATAATTGGATAGCTCGAGTAAGTTCATGATAAGAATTGTGATTCGTGTGATTTTTTTTTGATTTGCGAAGACAAAAAAGTTCTGAATCAACCAAATCATAAAGAAAATCTTAATGCTGAGATTTTCACAATAATCTGCAGTATGAAGCATAGAAAAACTGCACTCAGAGCAATTATCAAAGCTCAATTTGGGGCAAAAAGAGGCACATCACATTCAGGGTAGCAATGACTGCATGCCCGTAGCCAGGATTTTGCTTGGGGGGATTCTTCCAAATGTCTGTGGGACCTGCAGGTGCCTTCCTAGGGGGTCCGGGGGCAAGCTGCCTCGTGAAATTTTGAAAATTGAACCTTCTAAAATGGCATTTCCTGTGTTTTTGAGAAGATTTCAAAGGAAAAATTAAACAAAGTTTTTACTAGAATTCCAGCCCCCTGGTGATACAAATCAGTCCACCTTTTGAAGAAAAGTCTTGGACCTTTAGATAAAAGTGGACCTTTGAGCCTTGTGGGGAGGTTCTTCCAAACTCCCCTGGCTACAGGCATGGACTGGTGCTGATCTGATTCTATATACAGCCTCTTGCCAACCAGATGAAATTATTCACGGATACTATAAACATTAAGTGTTTTATAATTTTTTTGGTGTAACACTGTTAATGTTTGCAGGAATTTTGTTTGTTTTCTTGTGGTGGTTGATTGAGAAAGAATATGATAATGATGATAACTTCGTCATTTTCTATTTTTCAGAATGACAGCTGCCCGAATTGCAGAAAGCCAGTTAACAAGTGCAGTGAGAATTGAAACTTCTGGTAACACAGCAGTAGTTACAGGTCATTAAAATGCAGACTTTTGTGTGTTTAACTGTAATAAGAATCAGCATCACAACTCTCGTGAATTGCCATTGTACAATTAACTATATTAGTTACTGCCTCAATGTTAATCTTTACTTACCATGGTCAATTTTCCTGACCATCTTTTAATGAATTGCAGATTTAATACAGAATCTGCATTATACCAGTGACCCTTGGAGGTGACTTGAAATGTTGGCCACATTGGTCAAATTTGTCCTCTCGTTTTGAACTTTCCCTAACTAGCCAGGGCTTGAAATACTTTTTCTGCAGGTAATTTTTTGCACCAGACAATTGCGCCACTCAGGGAGTTTGCATGGGTAATACTAGGGAACAAAAGAAACAAAAATCCACATACAATGTACATGTGTATGATTATTACCTAGATGACATATATCAAACCAGTACATGGACCAGTGCAGTCAGATATCAGAAATACCTGCACAGCTCCAATTTTACCTGCACTAACCTGCATATAACCAGTACATGGACCAATGCAGGTTAGATGCAGGTAGACATCAGAAATACATGCACAGGTCCAATTCTGGCTAAGATGCATATAGTGATATACACCCAGTATTTTGAGCCCTGACAGGATCTATATAGAAGTGCATGTAGTCGCAAAGTGACATGGGACCAATGTTGGAAGTTAGGATACATTGTACATTGTGAAGTTTGAGTAACAGAAATGAGAAGTGACTCAAACAATTTCAGGGGTAGGAACTATGTGCCAGCGCTCAGCCTTTTGTATGAATGTTTTTACCATGTACATTGTATTTGTAAAAAAATATGTGTATAGATTTCTTAGGACTTCAGATAAAATGACAGTATCTTAAATTATAAATATAACTATGTATATTGTCTGACAATTACTTCGGGATTTGAACTTCTCATGAATAAAACAATTTTAGTCAAAAACATCAAATCTTTGGGCAATACTTTGGGCAATTTTCACTGTTAGAAACAACAGGGCAATGCCTAATTCGAGAACGACGTTATTACCATTTTCCATTGAAGTCAATGCTGTTAAACTATAATTTTTTTCCATACATGTACCCACAGCAATTATTGATTGATATTGCGAGGCCTGAAGCAGACTTTTTACCTGTTATGTGGAACAATTGAAAAACTATTGAAAAATTTCAAACTACATCTGATTCAATAGCAACGTTCTTTGTTCACAACCAGTTGTTTAACAAGAGCCAACTAGTGAACGTTTTGATGACCACCTGTCATCTTCATCAGAGCAAGCTTTGTGTTACTGGTTCACTGTGCATTGAAGCAAGGTGTTATTGGTTCACTGTGCACTGAAACTAGGTGTTATTGGTTCACTGTGCACTGAAGCCACATGTAGGTGTTACTGGTTCACTGTGCCCTGAAGCTAGGTGTTACGGGTTCACTGTAGACGAGCTATTTTTGCTACTGGTTCACTGTGCGTTGAAGCTAGGTGTTACTGCTAACATTCTAGTCTCAAATGTAAAGTAATTGTGACAAACAATACATTTCACAGTAGAAGAAAGAAAAGAGAAGAAAGAAAAGTAGAAGATACATGTAGAAAAGAGAAGAAAACAAGAAATTTTGTTCCCCTATGACAGTGGTCAACATGTCGCAACATGTCGAAAATGGGCAAAGATGTCTCTTGCCATGCCGGAACGTGGATGGCCACGGCAGATAAACATGAAGAAAGAAGACAAGACAAGGCTCTGATTTAATGTTTTGTCTTTTGATACAGCGATGTGTTTCATTCCTATTATAGGTGACGACCATGGTGGCGGTGTATATGTGATGTTCTCACTTAATTTAAAACCATTTGTACAATGATTGACAAGTTTTTATCTAAGTTAGTGACAAAGGGATGTTGCAATAGTTGGTAGTAAACTTGGCATAACATAGGTATCATTCTTCTTGTTTCTTGTTTACAATGTCAAAACTTGATAATGTAGGAATCTTGTTTTTTGGCCCGCTTTGTTTTTTTCGCCCTATCGCATTAGCTTTGGAATCTGCGATGGATGTCATCTATAAAATTTACTTCCTGTGGCCTAACTAGAAAAAATGCAATGTGCTATCATCATTCTTTTAGTTCTCAACCATCAGTAACCATGACACTTTGAACGCTCGAAAATTAACTAATTTTTGTTCAGCAAGTACTTTCTGGTTTGTTGGGTGGAAACATACATTATTATTGTCTTCGTCAGAAAGACTATGGAATTGTCTCACCGCATTGTGGGTGAAAGCGCTAGCATTATTCGACGTCCATGATTTTGGGCAGGCAGATTACCGTTGTTGAGGCCAAAGTCAAGTGCAAGTTTGGGCTTCGTGGGGGGTCCCTACGTCACTGCAGTGGGCCTTTTGTGTTTGCCGCTTGTTAGCAAAATAACTCGAGTATATTTTAATGAATGTTCATGATTTTTGGTAGGCAGGTTACCGTTGTAGAGGCCAAGGTCAAGTGGTGTCCAGGTGGCGCTCCTCTGTGGCTGTGAGGGTCCAAGCCTCTGCGCCATAGAGTAGGACAGAGAGCACTAAGCTGTTATAGAGCCTGAGCTTGGTGTCAGTGGATATCCGGCCATTAGACCAGATGTGGCCGAGACTGGCCATTGCTGCGGACGAGCGGCCGATACGGGTCTTGATGTCGGATCTGCTTCTTCAGTCGGAAGAGATGGTGCTTCCTAAGTAGGGGCATCTTTCCACCACTTCTACGGTGTAGGACTCAATCGTGAGGTTGGCAGGTGGAGGTTGGTACTAATGGTAGTCACTCAGACTCTGGACCTTCATTTTCTGCCAGCTGATCTGTAGTCCGAGAGGCCTGGTTTCTGAGTCCATGATGTGGAGTGCGAGGTGAAGGGCCTGCATGATCTCTGCAAGAATGGCCACATCATCAGCATTGTCAAGGTCCGTTATGGTAACGTTTCCGAAGCTTGCACCACACGCACTCTGAGAGATGGTCCTTCAAAGTCTATGGCAGTGTTGAAGATGGTGGGGGCCAGGACACAACCTTGTCTCACACCACTGTTGATGTTGAAGCTGGCGGATGTCTGCCCATTTACCCTCACACTAGACGTTGTGGTGGAGTAGAGGAGGGAGAGGAGGTTCAGGAGCTTTGTGGGGACTCCCAAGATCTTGAGGATTTTCCACAAAGCTGGGCGATCCACAGAGTCAAAGGCCTGTTTCAGGTCAACATACACAGCAAAGAGTGGCTTCCTGTAGTCCCTTCTCAGCTCTTCGAGTATCCTAAGAGTAAGGATCCTGTCCACCGTGGAGCGGCCTGGAGTGATCGCTCTGATCTCGGCGTTGTTTGCTGAGGAGCAGTGGCCTCAGTCCCGCCAGGATGATGTGGGCAGGCACCTTCCCTGGGACGCTGAGGAGAGCTATGCCTCTATAGTTGCCGCAGTTGTCCTTGGGGCCCTTCTAATTATCCCGTGGAGCCAATCTGTGGGAACAGTCTCTGTTCTCCATATGGCGGTAAACAGGACGTGAAGCTGGGCTGCTACCGCAGAACCACCTTTCAGCAACAGCTCTGGCGGGATGCCGTCTACCCCTGCTGCTCGACCGGGCTTGAGCTTGCTAATAGCCTCCAGCACTTCCTCCTGAGTAGGGGAATCATTAGAGATGGAATCGTCCTCTGAAGCTTGGCTGCTAAGGATTCCAACTGTGGTGAGTGTGGGGGAGGAGGTAGGTTGAGAAGGTTGCAGAAGTGTTCTCTCCAGCGGTCCAGCTGCTGTTCTGGAGTGTCCAGATCGGACCCATCCAGGGCCTTTATACACGCTATGGGTAGAGTTACTGAGAGTGTTCTGGGGGTTTTGTACAGGGTGCCTTGATTTTAAAACTCCCAGAAAATAATTAAGAAAAGCAATTAGAGCAGGGAAGGTGCTTGCCCACATCATCCTGGCGGGACTGAGGCCACTGCTCCTCAGCAAACAACGCCGAGATCAGAGCGGCTTCACTCCAGGCAGCTCCACGGTGGACAGGATCCTTACTCTTAGGATACTCGAAGAGCTGAGAAGGGACTACAGGAAGCCACTCTTTGCTGTGTATGTTGACCTGAAACAGGCCTTTGACTCTGTGGATCGCCCAGCTTTGTGGAAAATCCTCAAGATCTTGGGAGTCCCCCCAAAGCTCCTGAACCTCCTCTCCCTCCTCTACTCCACCACAACGTCTAGTGTGAGGGTAAATGGGCAGACCTCAGCCAGCTTTAACATCAACAGTGGTGTGAAGCAAGGGTGTATCCTGGCCCCCACCATCTTCAACACTGCCATAGACTTTGTCATGGGAAGGACCATCTCTTAGAGTGCGTGTGGTGCAAGCTTCGGAAACGTTACCATAACGGACCTTGACAATGCTGATGATGTGGCCATTCTTGCAGAGATCATGCAGGCCCTACACCTTGCACTCCATACCATGGACTCAGAAACCAGACCTCTCGGACTACAGATCAGCCGGCAGAAAACGGAGGTCCAGAGTCTGAGTAACTACCAGCCTCCACCTGCCAACCTCACGATTGAGTCCCACACCGTAGAAGTGGTGGATAAGTTCTCCAACTTAGGAAGCACCATCCCCTCCGACTGCAGAAGCACCTCCGATATCAAGACCGGACTTTTCTATTTGGATCCGAATTAACGTGTTTCGACCAATCATCTAAAACAGTAAAACTACATGTTAATGTTTATACACGAGTCTATACCAAACAATCTTTTCTCCGCTGTGCTTGAGGAACTTGGTTTAGAACACAACGTTCCCGTTTCTCAAGGTTTGAAAGAATGTGGGTTCCACCTGTCACCCACACATATCTGTAACTTGTCTGCCGTTATGGCCGGAGTTCCTCCAGTGGCAGTAGCGCTAGTGTAGGCTCTGTCCCGGTACACAGCCCCCAGCTGGGCGTTTTTTCTGACTTAATTTGTAGTACTGACATGTCAGGCAGCATTATGTTGACCCCACACGGGACAGTAGATCTGTTTGTTTCGGGTACAGGCTCCCAAGTAGATGTTCTTCACGATACGGGCGAGTTGTCGGATACTTCCCTCCCCCTGCATGGCTAGCTCAGGCTTGTCCCTTGTCAGGAAAACTCTTGTGTGCCACGTTAACGTTGCTTCCCAGACCCTCCCCCAACCCCTGCCCCACACCTGGCTGGCCACGAGGTGCGCACACCTTGCCTTCCCAATTATCAAGGGGGAAAAATCGAGGTGCCGACAAAATTGCACATTCCGCTCTGGCGACACCTCCTAGGCGGTTACCAAGACAACGCCCTCTGCGATCTGATAGAGTATGGTTTCCCAATCAATTACTGTATGTCTCCCCTACCCAGCCCAAGGTGCCAAAGACTTAATTAAATCTTCCCTCAGCTATCAGATACGCGGATCATGTAAACAAACACATCCGCACAGAATTGGCCTACGGCGCCACAATAGGCCCAATAAAAAACGATTTCTTCGCTGAGCCCTTCACCTGTTCCCACTACAGACAGTCAAAGGGTAAATGGGCGGAATAATTAGTATCATCTGATGACATCATCATGCAGGGTAGAGGTCACGTGATCAAGTTGTCTGTTCAGCCGACGGGAAACGAGATTTTTTTTCAGACCTTCGGACAGACCTTTGGTAAGTCAATGACAGAACGTCAGACATATGTTTTCTTGAACATTGAGCGTAAAATCTAGCGGATCAAGAATGTTACGCCCTAAGGCGGTTTTTAAATTAGTTTAACGGGTTAGCAAGGTAGCTTTCGTGGCTTGAAATTCTTAATATCTGATCTTGTTGT